ACTGCAATTACACGGATTATCGAAAAAAAATTTTTCCACATAACAAGGTGCCCTGGATCAAATAAAAATCGACGGGTCTCACCGTTTTTCGAAAAAATAATTGTTTAACGAAAATATGAATTTTATACAGAACTTTTTTACCACGCTGTATATTTAAAACTATTGTTAGATATTAAAGAAACACTGAAACAAAAATTGAAAAGTAAAATAGAAAAAGAAATTACAGTATTTATATCTTCAAGTAATCAATTTTTTTATGATGTAATACAGATAACGTTACAATGAACAAAGGCTAGTACATACTTTTTTATTGTCGCCTACTTATGTATAAGTGCCAGGTAGTTGTGACTTAATCGCCATATGTTATAAATTATGTAATTAATAATTAAATAATAAACATCGAAAATTGAAACCATAAACTAAAATTTTTGAATTTACTAATACCTATAATTACATCATAACATAATTACTCCCAGTATAGCAATCAGTGAAACATAAAAATATCACATACAGTTAAAACGGAATTAAGTTACAATAAAATAAATCTTTCATCAGCCCTTGCATCAAGCATACCGATGATGACTAAAAAGTTTGAAATCGAAATTGCTGATGAATGATCTTTGTTGTTTACTAGATATTGAGGATGTAATTCAATGCTGACCGGGGTATGTAGAACGCAGAGTAGTTATTTTCCATAATATCACAGATTAAGTAGTAACATCAGAAATATAAATAGGACTATTAATTCAATTTATTGGAACTTAAAGGCGATATTTCATTTCAACATAATCTGTAGAATCTTACAAGATGTCTATCGCTTACTAAGTGTAAAATAGATATTTTATATACTTTATCTAAATAAATATATTAAACACAAACCACGTAAAAGTTTTTTATTTAAATAAGAATGTAGTATTTTTTATATACGTAAATATTTCTTTATATAAATTTGAGATGTAGTGGACATATTTTATTACTATGTTGAAATATTGAAGCACAATATGCAATAAGAAAATTGAATTGAAATATGTTTATTATATAAAAAGAAAATGTAGGTATATTATCTGTGAATACAAAGCAACGATTTTTAATTATTTTAAAATAATGTTAAGAACATTACCATTAACATTCAAATTGTAATGATAAACACAAGTAAATCTATGATCAAAATCAAAATCTAATATCAAAATAATTTTAATTTAATTGTGTATAGTTTAACGTCGGTCGATAGCCGCACGGTTTAAGGCGTCAGTACTTAAATCGATGTGTCGAACTGCCCGGGTTTCGAATCCCGCGGCCGGTGACCGTAGATTATCTATACTTGTGCGGAGGATTGGCGCCCTCTGTACAGGTATGGTAGGGTGGAAGAATGTTGGCTTGGGTCAATGTGAGAGATTGACACCGGTTGGCATTTGACCACCCCCCTAATTAATGAGGTTTTCCAGNTATCTTCGTTTTCTCAAAATCTCTCACTGCTAATGAATACAAAAATATGGCAAATATTCTTTGTATATTCTAAATGTCTTCTACATTTTATGTAAAAAAATTAGCTCATATTTATATTCTACTATTACAATCCTTCACAACAAACTTCAGTGCAATATCTTTAAATATTTGATCTGAGATATATTACGCTCATACGAAAAATTATATTGATAATTGTGTACAATTTTGTGTTTCAGGTACACACCATACATACGAAGACAAAATGAGGTGCTGGCTCCCCATCTTAACGGTATTAGTGACCAGTTTAACAATTATTCCACAGAACACCAGTGCAGCATCCTGTACAATTTCAAAATACAATGCTAATGACATCAGAAATGCCCAAAACGATTGTTCTCAAATCGTTATCAATAATATTGAAGTAGCTGCTGGTGAGACATTGGATTTGACACATCTTAAGCAAGGCACCAAAGTAATCTTCCAAGGAACCATCACATGGGCGTACAAGGAATGGTCTGGACCATTGCTTAGCGTTGCAGGTACTAACATTGAAATCACCGGTGCCTCAGGTCACGTGCTCGATGGTAGGGGATCTCTGTGGTGGGACGGCCTAGGAACAAACGGTGGAAAGACGAAGCCACAATTCTTTAGAGTCAAACTAACAAACTCGAATATAGACAATATCAATATTAAAAACTCTCCTGTGCATATATTCTCTATAAGCAACTGCGACAACCTGGTGATTCAACAAATCAACATCGACAATTCTGCTGGTGACTCTGGCGGTGGCCACAATACCGATGCTTTCGATGTTGGCAACTCCAATGCCATCACCATCAAGCACAGTACTGTTTACAACCAAGATGACTGTTTGGCAATCAACTCTGGAACCAACATCGTATTCGCCGACAACTACTGTTCCGGTGGACACGGAATTTCTATCGGTTCTGTTGGTGGCAGGGACAACAACGTCGTTAAAGGCGTTCAAGTTTACAGATGCGAGGTTGCCAACTCCGACAACGGAATTAGAATTAAGACCGTCTATGGAGCAACTGGATCCGTGTCTGACGTCTCATACGAAGACATCACCCTGACTGGTATCCACAGATATGGTATCATCATTGAGGGTGATTACGAAAATGGAAGCCCCACTGGTACACCAACTGGAGGCGTACCAGTTACCGACTTGACGGTGAAGAATGTTCATGGAACAGTCGACTCTTCTGGGGCTAACGTTTATATTTTAGTACAGAACGCCGCTAACTGGTATTTCTCCGGCATCTCCGTCACAGGTGGATCTAAAACTATGGCATGTACAGGTATTCCTTCTGGTGCAGGAATATCGTGCTGATTTGGGAATATCATTTAACTTTTTTGTATTTAATGTGAACACCTACATATTAGTAATAAACAGTAATAACAAAATCTACAATATTTTTTTCACTAAATAACACTGATAAAGACAAAATAATTTAGAAAAATTAAAATTTATTTAAAGAAATCAAAGAAACCAGAAACATTTCTGAAAACGAAAATTTCTTTTTGATATTATTGACCTATTATTTCATCAGTTTTAATGTAGGACGTAGAATATGAACGAGCAACTACATGAACTGAATATCGAAGAGTACAAAACCTTTGGGATATGCAGTTGATTTATTGATTCTTGTTCATATAGCAAGTGCTAGGGTACAGGGTACCAAAATAGGTTCTAGATTAAAATGCAACGGAAACAGCGTGTCATGCCCTATGCGAGTATGAAATATTAGACTATGGAATGCGGGGTTTTTGTGGACAACCAAAATTAGATGTAAACGGGTACAGAACGCAATCCATGGAGAAGCTGCACAAACAAGTGCTAGAGTCCAGGGTACCTGAATAGGCGCTATGTTAAAAATAGGAGACTCAGAACATTGACAAATGGTTCTAATAAGAAGTACATAAGAGGTTACTCCAAAGTGCATTTCGGGGGAGTAGCCCTTTTTAAATCACATACCTATGAAAAGACTTTAAAAAGTGTTCATGACAAAAAATATTTCGGGTTAAATTTGTTAAGCTTATTAACATTATATTAACCTTCACTACTTTCTGCTTCTGATGGATTTTTAATAGTGCTATTAGTTCAGGAAATATAACATCGATTTAGATTTTTTTTGTTTCGTAAGGTTTCTATTGATTCTGTATTGAATATTAAATGTTTGTGTCCTTCACGACTACATTTTATTTCTTTAGATTTTTATTTTATCATGAATTATATTTCCAAGGAAATTACTCACGAGAACTCAATTTACGGGGCCAACGTACCATACGCCAAACAAACAGCACGAATAAGCAAATACTAATAGATAATTCGAAATATTGTTTCAGTTACTGTTTTCTTGGAAACCAGGTTTAGTAGGTAACATAAGCCAGGCTAAGGAAGTCATTAATCATACAGCAAGTCCACTATTGTCGACTACCCTTGTTAGTTTCTATAATCTGTGAAGAGTTCAAGAAATATTATTTTCCTGACACAGTTTTTCATTCTCAGTAAAAAAACTTTGTATCTTTTGTGTATATGACGTGTATATTAATATACAGGGTGTCTGGAGGCGAATGGGCCATGCCATGTAGGTTGCTTTCTTGGGTGAAAATAAACCAATTTAGATAAAGTTACATTAATACATATTGTTTATTTAAAAAATTATGTGGGCCAAGAAAAATATTTTTATTTTATTTTTTAAAATAATTTCCTTTTCACTTTTAAATATATTTGCGAGTTTTACGATAAACAATTTTGAATATCGTAAAAAATATTTGATTTAACTGCAAATTTAGTAAAGGAGTGAAATACTCAGCTGTCAGTCACTGATGACTGTAGTAAAAGATGCAACAAGTATACCTTTTTTACGGCAAGTAAAATGATGTTTCATAAAATATCTTCGTTTTCTCAAAATCTCTCACTGCTAATGAATACAAAAATATGGCAAATATTCTTTGTATATTCTAAATGTCTTCTACATTTTATGTAAAAAAATTAGCTCATATTTATATTCTACTATTACAATCCTTCACAACAAACTTCAGTGCAATAACTTTAAAGGTAAAAAAGTTATATATAAAAAATTAAATAAATAATTTTTGTGGGCCGATAACTTTTTAAGAAATTTAAATTGGTAACTGAATTAATCATTGCCCATTTGCTAATACCAATGGGTATATCAGTAAACATACAATTCAATTAATAGCATAACGTGACAAATTAATTGCTTAAATCCACTTATTCCATAATCCATTACGAACTTTCTTCGCTCTGCATGATCAGTGCAGTGTTACTACTAATTTTTCTCAGAATAAGAATATTTTAGTACGGCACTGTTCTCTAACGGCACTGTGTTCGTCACTTGTCAATATTTTCAGTCCTGTTATATTTTCTGTAGCGCAGTTCATATACAATATGTACATATTTAAATTTTAAATCCGCAATTCGCGTTTATATGAACTGGGCCTAACAGAATAGAAGGCGAGTTCGTTTACTTCAGCGGGATTCCGAGATTTATCATTTTGCCAACTGACAGTTGTCAAATCACGTGACGTAATTGAAAACTATTAAACGAACTCCTACATTTATATATTTTGCTATATTTTGTGCATGTACTTGTGTTCCTCTATTAAAAAATATATTTATTAAAATCTCCTGTTGACAGAAATTTCCATCTGGCAACACTGATCAGTAGGCTTCAGTTCTTGAGTCAATTGAACTTTGTAACTATGAAGATACAAATCTTTCGTGAGAATACGTTGTAGAGAGTTTCTCCAAATGTCTAATTCTTGACCACGGTGCCGAATTGATGTTCCTGGACTCTCAGCAACACTCTCACGAACTGCTTCGATGTTTTGTGTTGAACGACTTGTTGAAGGACGGCCAGAGTGTTTAAGATCACTAATTGATTCAGTCTCCCTAAATTTTTTAATTAATTTCTTCAGAGTTGACGGAATTAAATCACTATTCCTATACACTGTTAGCTGTAACGCCGTCTTTTTTTATACGTTGGTAACACTTTACCGCACAAATGGCGCAAAATTCAAATCCTGCGTGAATTTTGGGACACCCGGTAGATAGCATTATTGTTTGAATAGTTTACTTCCAAAATAATTTGATGTGTTCATTCCTTTAGGAATAGTAGTCTGATGTAATATATTATCTAGAAGGCGGTATAATCTAGTAAAATGAAACTGATATTTGTTGTAAATTATCGATGAAGTGGAAATTATTTTCAGTGATTTATTGTTGCTTATTGTCACGTAGCATAAACATATCACTCAAAAATTAATGAATGTGTAGATAAAAATGTATATTACTATAAGTTGTTGTGATTATTATAATAAACATTAATTGGTGGATTAGTGGTTAGTTATTGGTATAGTTTCTTAAATTTCAGAACTTCTTATAGTATTCTATTGAATACTGATTTGGAAATTTATACGTGACTTTTTATTGAATGACATTAATGAACTTTTCTTGTTAGATAGATCTCGTGGAAGTGCGTCTGAGTCATGATCCACGTCAAAATAAAAAATGGGAGAATGTAATTTTTCATAAATGGGTATTATAAATAACTATAATTTCTAATATAAGACTGTTGTTAATCGGTTGTTTTCAGAAATAGTGTATAAATATTTATTGAATAGGAAGACTACATTTTATTCTACACTTGGCGGGTTAGAAAAATGTTAAAATGTTACTAATAAAGGTATTTAGTTTGATAAGCAAACAGATATTTATTATAAAAGGTCTATTTCAAGTGGTTGTTACCTTATAAAAACGCACACTTGTAGTTGCATTTTTTCAGTCTGTGTTGTGTAACGGGGTGTATAAAGGTATGTGTAAAACGTACAATTTTTACTTTAGTTTTTTGTCTTAAACTATTGGAAACTTTTGAACTATTTGCTATAAATAATTTTATTATATACTTAAAAGATGATTTCTGACCGCTTTAAAAATACTTTGAATTGAGAATTAACTAATTATTATAACAATAATGAAAATGAAGTTTGTACACAGACATATTAGGTAAAAGAGTCAAAGTATATATGATTTCAAAATACTACACATGATTTAGTATTTTGTTTAGGAGGGGGACAGTTAGATCTCAAATTTCTACATGAATGTGATTGTGCTCCAAATTTATATAAAATTGTTACAAATTCGCTTCTAGCTACAGGGATCTCGGAAACGGTAAGAGATACGAAGTAGCTTAAAATTGCATAATCAGGGAACCAACATTATGCCTCTAAAAAATCAAGGCTACCATGATTAGTTTTCGAAGTATTTGAAAAAATTGAATTTTTGGAAATCCGTTTTCGTTTCATTTCAGCCTTGCTGAAGGTGAAAAAAGAACACTTTCCCATGGCAACTTTTTGCCCTCTATCGAATGACATAATCAATTTTATGTAACGTTTTGTCTCTCCAGAAATATTATTAACTTAATTTTTTTAAATACGACCACGGAAATTTTATTACATTTTTTGCAAACCTCCATGACCCCCAATACTGTACTGCCTGATCCCGAACCAGATTCAGACTTTTTGTCCCGAAAAATACATCTTCAATGTATTCGTTCCAAATTTATCTAATTTTTTTAGATTTGAATTATCGTACACTCTAAGTGTCGTTAGACTCTGTGAGAAAGCGTTTTACTTTTTTCAATATCACCTCAAATAAGGCTGATATGAAACAAAAACGAATTTCCAAAATTTCGATTTTTTAGAGGCATAATGTTGGCTCCCTGATTATGCAACTTTGCCCCCATTTAGGTTACTTCGTATCTCTTACTGTTTCCGAGATGCCTGTAGTGAAGAAGCGAATTTGTAACAGTCTGTATATCTAAAACCATAGATATTGAACAAACATTGGAACAAAAAAGGAAAAGCAAAATATAATTTTTTTTTACATTATTTACATTCTTCATGCAATAAAATTTTTTATGATATAATGTAGATAACATAACAGTGAACAAAGGTGAATACATACTTTTTTCATTGTCGCCTACTTATGTATAAGTGCCAGGTAGTCATGACTTAATCTCCATAAAATGTGATAGATTAAGTAATTAGAAATTAAATGATTAACATCGAAAATTGAAACCATAAACTAAAAGGTAAAGGTCATGAAGCTTACCAGCAATTAGGCCATGCTTTGCCCTTTTTGCCTACTAACTAACACTATCCTCCACCTTAACAATCACAAACATCCATGGTACGACAGGAAAATTCTTTGGAATTTTCCTGCCGCGTGCGGGATTCGAACCCACTACGGTTTTGCCGCGCAGCCCTGGCTCGCCTCTGTAGGCAAGCCTCGACCGCTTCGGCTACCGCCGCGCCAAAACCATAAACTAAATAAAATGTCTACATAATTACGTAACTACATAATTTCCCGTAGTATAACAG